ATGTTGTACGGACACATGAGCTTTGTACGGACGCCTTTGTACGGTCGCGACTCGGGTTTCCCAATTTTTTTTTCGGCATATGCCGTAAAACCATTCGAATATCTTTGTCCTTCACCAAAATACCTCACGCTCTCCAGACTTGCCTAACTAGGCCCCTCTCGGGTCCTTTTCCCCCTTCGCCCCCCAAACTTCTCTATGTCTGTACCCTTTTCTCCTCCCCCCTCCCAACCCGGATTCAAACATTTATACAGCTGTTTCAACGCTTATTTCATTTCACCTTCTTTTCTCTCTTTTTTTTGCACTTGCAACGGAACGCGGCACAGGGGGGCTTTCTGTCACGCGGCTCGTCGCAATTGCGGGACGACGTAACAGGTGGCGGCGGCGGCGGCTTCCTGGGCAGGCTGTCCAAGTAGGTTTTGAATTTGAATAATTAAAATTCGCGTCGAGCCCTCCAGCAAAAACTGATTAAAACATCTCTGGTTCTTATTAGCTCGGTCACAGTAATAAAACCGTAATGAATGGCTTTACGGCATCTGGAATAAGCAACGCGAGCCAGGCGAGAATACGGGAATGCCGTCCACGCTGCCATGGAAGCGGCCAATGGCCTAATTAGGCTCATAATGTGCTCAGCATGCACAAGTGACGTGTGCGTGTGAAATAAGCCGTGGGAACGTATGTTTGTGTGTGTCTGTTTGTGTATGTGTGTGTGTTTGTGTGTATGTGCACGTGAACGTGCGCCACGTGCACCACGTGCACTACCTCTTGATTTACCTTGGCGCTTCCGCTTCATTCTGGTCGGTTCCGTCATCCTCTGACCTGCGTTGTCCCTCCGCTTCCCTCCCTCCCTCCCTCCCTTGACCATACCTCTCCCCCCGGCCCCTCCCCACCATCACCCGCCAGCGCCATCTCCACCTGGGCCCCGCGGACTCGCCGACAACATCCACAACTCCATCATCATCACCATCATCATCATCAGCTGTCAACCCCCTCTTCTGTGACGGTAAGCAGTTGTGAGAGTGCCTTTCATTACCTGGATTGCTACGATGACAGCCTAGCGCCGTTCCTAGTTGCAGCCCCTTCCAAGTGGAGCGGTGAAAGGCGTAGAGAACCCTTTAGGGGTTCCCCTTTAGGTGACAGGTGATTGGTGCAGAGCCCCTTTAAGCATAAGCAAATTTGGTAAGGCCCCTTTAGGCACTGTCTATCGTATCGTATAGCCTGCATGGATGGGTCGCCTTGCCGTCGTCCTTGTCGCCGCAGCAGGAGCGGCGCCACGGTAAGCTGTGGTTTGGAGGCGGCGCCGCCTCCGGTGCCGCTGGAAGCCTTGGTGCCGCCGCCATCGCGGCTGCCGCCGCTGCAGGTGCAGGCGGAGCCGGCTGCGGCGCTTCAGGTCCCGGGTTCGATTCCGGTCGACTACTAATTGATCATATCCGATCGGTCTGGCTCGCGTATGACCCGCAAGAGGCAGCATCTTGTACCCCTGTCGCCGCCGCCGCTTGTATCACTGCCAACCAAACACGGTACGGTGCAGTACATTACGGCGCGGACAGTAGCGCCGGGGCGGTGGCGGCGGCGGCGGCTATCGATGACTGCAGAAAGGATCCGGATCATTTCGAGAAGGTAGCTGCGGCCACTTCCTGGGCGGCAGGCGGTGGTGAGGTTGCGCCGAAGATAAAGGTGACGGCGGCGGCGCCAGCAGTAGCAGCAGCAGCGGCAGCTTTGGCACCGGCCCTGCCGGCAGCCGCACAGCTACTGCTACCAGAAAGTAACGCTGTCGCCTCCGTTCCTGCCACAGCCGCCGCCGCTGCTGCCGGCGGCGGCGTGTTGCCGTACAGTGGCGGGGACCTGGTGCCTTCAAAGCTTATTGCCCCTAACGTCAGTCTTCCGTCGTACAGCAGCAATATTAGTTTTGGAGATACCCAAGGAAGTCAGCTACTGCTACAGCCGTCGCCGCTGCTCGAGCTTCAGCTACAGCCGCCACCAACGACGCCGTCAACGAAGCCGCCGCCGCCGCCGCCGCCGCAACCCATTAGCCTTTGTGATGACGTCATCGGGGTGGGTCCGGTCTGTCGGCAGCCCGCTGTACGACATTACCTGGTGTTTCGGGGCCTACGAGTACGGATGGGCATCCATTCGGGTGTGCCGGACGCCGGTGATGTGATGTACAATCAGGTACGAACTGCATATCCGTACAGCTACTATCGTTTTTTTACGCGTCAATTTATCGTGACGCCTGGGGGTTTGGCAGAGTTGCTGCACACTGCGCGATCATGGCCTCGTTGTACTTTGCCTTCATCCACGCTCTGCATGTTGATCTGTCTGTCGCTCTGTCTGTCGCTCTATCTGTCGCTCTGTCTGTCACTCTGTCTCTATCTCAATATCTCAACCTCCGCAGGCCGAGGCGCGCTATCATTACGCGGGTGGTGGAATGGCCATAGCACGGGCAGTGCAGGGCGCTGCGGCTGGCGGCCAGGTTAGGCGGGGGGGCTTAGAGCTGCGGCTGGCGGCCAGCAAGTTGCTGCTAGCACGTGGGACTCCTGGGGCGACAGTTTATGAAAAAGATGATCTCAGGTCACCCATTGGAAAGAGTGCTGACGGACGGGCGTTTACATCTAGTCCCCCCTAAAGGGGAACTAGAGGGGACGATAACCGGGGCGCATTTCGTGTGTGTATCAACCCTCCGAGTATCGTCTTGGGATTAGCGCGTACACCGTGTGTGTTTGTGTGTTTGTGTGTTTGTGTGTTGTTCGCGGGGCGGGGGGCACTGGAGGTATGGAGTGGCATGCGTGCGTGCGTGCTCATGTACTTTGGGAATCTTAATATATTCTCTATGTTACCCCACTATCCATACACATCAGAGAATGGGTCATAATGTTGACACAGAGCCTGCAGCCGCAATTTGTTGCCGATTCGCGGTTCGAATCCACGCTCGCTCAAATCCGTATGTTCAACCAATCGCAGGTGTTGCTCAGCGACTCTACCTTTGCGAGAGTGCGTGATGCTCAGCAAAGCAAACGGCTACGGGAAACTGTGGTAGGTATGGGAGCGGCAGAAACCTACCACATACCAAAATAATCCGTCACATCCACCTAAACCCATTCCGCACTTCGCCACCACGCCCACTTAGATGAAACAGCTGCACTCTTGCCTTCTTCCGCATAGGTGCGATCCTATCTAGCTAGCTGGGGGTTTCCCGCGCTTCCGCGCTTCTTTATCTGCTGCATCCCGGCCTCTTAAGCCGTTGATTTAAGCCTCTAAAGCGTCTTGCGTGATTTATTTACATGAATATTTTAATTGCTTTGATTTCTCACCCATCCCGCTGCTCCACAGCCGCTGCCGCTTTCTCCATCCCTGCCCATTTCTACCTACTCTAAATCGCAGCTCATACACGCTGGGGAGCATGTGGTTGGAAGTAAGCTGCCTGGCACGCAACAGCTCTACCAGGCACTGCCCCGACAACTGCTGTGCCGCCTGCCACTGCATCCTCCCCTCAAAGTCATGTGAGTTCTGCCGCTTGGCATCATCGCATCAAACACCGTGACGGTGTCTTTCTGGCGGTCTGTTCTTCGAGCTGTTCGGATGAACGATGAATGAGGAGAGGTGTAATGATGGGATGTCAATTTGGCACTGCCGCGGTGTAAAGCACACACATACATACACACACACACTCTCTCTCTCTTGTGTGCCTTTGTACCTGTGGGATTGTGTGCCCGTTTTGGGGCTGTTCGTGTGCTTGGAAAAAGCAATAGATGAAATAGATGACACATCACCATCGGTGCAGGACAGCTTCAACTCGCACTGAACCATGCTTGATCCTAAGTCATCAAACATCATCAGATCGACCCCCAAAGACAACAGACTTACCTACCGACGAAGGACTCGACTCTGAACAGCAACAGCACATTACTACATTGCTCTATATTTGGGGGCAGATATGCAACATTGTGTCGTACATGCGATGCTGTGTTTTTGCAGTCGCACGATATCCGCCGGCGCCCTGGAGGCGCCCGTGGGTCGCGTCGCGGTTGCGTTCGTGTCGGTGGTGGGTGCAGCCGCGTTGCAGGCCTGGGACCCAGAAATCACCAGGCGGGCGCTGGAGGTTTTCCTTCAAGTATTTTTGGCCACGGCGGCGACAACGGCGACACGCGGCATGTACCTGGTGAGCTTTGTTTTTTTCATTTTCGGTCGGCTGGCGGTGTTTTTGACCCACACAGCCTCTCACACTCTGTCTGCTGTCATAGCAATAGTGGTCTTCAGTCCCATTTGTTTGTTTGTCTGTTTATTTCCCCTTCGGTTATATGTTTGCGCCAGGTCAGTTCTTACATTCTTCCATTCTTCCTTCAACACCTGAGACTTCTTATATAAAATGTAATTTAATGTCACTGTTAGATCCCACGGTCCGCTATCCACACACAACCCATATCCGGATGAATCAGGTTGAGTGTACGGGCGGGCTGCTCCTGGCGACGTTTGCAAGTGCCGCTGATGCCCTGTCCACCTGCGCGGCCCTGCAAGTGGGGTTGTTGGTGGCGGACTGGCCCCAAGAGCTCCTAGAACATGACCTGTGTGAGGAGGTAAGTCGTGGGTGTGGGGTGATGTGGAGAAGGGGTGGGGTGGAGGGGAGTTGTGGGGCCCATGCGGCAGCCAGCAACAGCAGCAGCAGCAGTAGCAGCAGCGGGGTTTGATTGATGGTTGGTTTTATTGACTGACTGATAGTCACCACCTGGCGTTATGCATATTTATTCCCGAACGGAGCGAGTGTGTATTACGGCATGAGAAGTTCGTGTAGCGATGAAGAGGTTTCTAAGTGATAGCCAAAGACCCAAACATCGACCTGCTAACTAGCAGTCTTGGCAACACAAAACAGTCAACACAAAACAAAGAAAGGATGAAGAGAGTGAATGACTGACTCTCAATCAAGAGAGGATATAAAAGCACATTAATTCAAATTTCTGTGCGCTTCGACTACCCCACATCAGTGAAGATTAAATCCTAGCGTTAGCATATCGTATGCAGCATGTCCTCACACACCCGTCTGAGGGGTGCTGATGCCGTACTGCGCGGTAACGCACGCAGCTTGAGCTTGAAGGGTGTGCGGCCGGGCGCTGGGATGTGGTTAAGGCTGGATGTGCTTGTGTGGTGTGGCGGGCTCTGAGATGCTACTTGCTTGTTGTGTGGCGTGGCCTGGTGTGGTGTATAGCTCAGTACGGCACACACCGTCAATACATATGATACGATGTAGAGCTAATGCACAGATGAAGGCCTTGACTAGTATTGCTGCGGCTGCAGCAGCCACGGCGCATGGCTGTAGTAATGTCTCTCCTGTACGGCTGCACCCCTGTGCTAACAGTGCTACTGCTGCTACCGCTACTGCTACTTTCCGCAGGTGACTATTGCGACACCACAGGTGGAGGGGACCATTGTACGAGGGGTGCTATTTCGTGGTCTAAGGGTCAAGGTACGGCAATCGTACAGGCAGGGGTGCGGTGCAAGACATTAAGTTTAGCCCAAGGGTAAAATTCCCCTTTGTGCATTCAAAGCGGTATAACAATTTTTCCTGTCGCTGCTTTTGTTTTTTCCTTTCTTCACCTACAGGTGGGAATTGACTACGGGCCTGCACGGGCCGCACTCAATAGAGCTACAGGACGCATTGCATATCGTGGCCGGGTAATGAATCGAGCTGCACGAATCAATGCAAAGGGTGCATCGGGACAGGTAGGGTATAAAACGTTTGAGTTGATGTCGCTATGGCCTAAATTGGGATGTGGAATAAATAGGTGGCAAGGTCAAATAGATCAAGGTCATTAGATGCATGGACAGTTGTGGGTTCTCCATTCCATCTAAAATGTAGGTAGTTTTACTTATGATAAAGAGATTAGGACAATGGGAACAAAAAGGGTAAGGGTAACTAAATATTATAACACGACGAATACTAGCCATAAGATGTTGTGACCGCAACAAATAGCGCAATCCAGTATGACATGACCTAACGACTAAGTCACTACTTAACACACCGTCCAAGTACCAGCACAACCTTCTCAAAAAAATAAGAAGCCAGCGTTTCATTTCGCCTTTTGGTCCTTCATCAAGTTTTCCGTTCCTTTGTTATTTTTACGATTTGCAAAAAAAACGTTCTGCTGCTCGCCCTGCCGTAGGTCCTCTGCTCCAGTGCGGCCTGGCAAGCGGCGAGCGACTCGGCAGAAGGGGGCCCCGCCGCTCTTGGCCTGGCCGCGCTAAGTCTGGGCTGGGCCGCCCTCAAGGTAGGCTGGCTTGTGTTAAGAGTCAAGGAGGCTAGTGACTCTGACTGTGAAACGTCACCCCTAGGGGTTGATTAATTGATTGTTTCGCGCGTTTGTAATTGTAATCGGTTAATAACAAAACGCCTACCCCCAATTACATGCGTGTTGATCTCCATGAAGGGTATCAGCGAACCAGTAGAGCTTTTGGAAATTCGTACTCTTCCAACAGCACCGCCGCCGAAGGGCGCCTCGACAACAAAACCAGGCCGGATCGTGCAGCAGACAACACCGCCATCTGTGGCTGTCAGCCCACCGCCTGATGCCGTCGCCGCCGCCGCCACAGCCATTGCCGTAACTAGCACTGCTGCCGTCAGCGTCGGTGCACGAAAGCTGCTGCCGACGCCTCCCCATGACGGCGCCGACGGCCTTGACCGCCCTTTGATGATGGCGACCCGAGGTGACGTCGTAACCTCATGTACGACAGGCAGCGGCACCGCGGCCGCCACTGCCGCTGCCGCTGCTGCTCAGGCGGCGCCAATACATAATAATTCCTCTGACGCCGACGCTGCAAGCAACGGCGACGTCGTTGTCAACGTCATCGGACCTTCGCAAGCATCGGTGCTGATGGGAGGCATCAGACATGATGCATTAGGATTACTGTGTGACGGCATCACAGTCGATGCGAACCGCGGTGCGGCGGCAGCGGCGTCGGTCGCTGCCGCCGCCGCCGCCGCCACGGCCAGCGACACGACAGCGCTGCCCACAGCTGCGGATGGTGTTCAGCCGCGGGTGGTATGCAGCGGCAGGAGCTTTTCAAATCTCGTGCCGCTGGGTACTGAGGGCCAATGGGGGCCTGGGGCCCCCAGCATGCCACGACGTACGAGTCAGCGGCTGTCGGCGGCTGCGGCGGACTCTCTGATGGCCACCTCAGTGTCGAATATCCGGGGGGCGCCGGCGGCGGCGCCGGCAGCGGCAGCGGCGGCGGCGGCTCTGATGCAGTCACCGGCCGTACAGGTACTTTGTGCTGGAAAGCGTGCGCTTTTCTAGCTGGGCAGAATGTTGCCTCATCCGGATCCATAAGAACCCAAATTCATGAAACCATTAGCTTGTGTTATGGGTGTCAGCCTAAAATAGGTATATCTACAAATGCTGAGCTGCATTGGGAAAATATACCATTTGTGCGTTTTTATGATTCTGTCATGCATGTGAGTGTGACCTAATCAATACACCATAAACTGAGCCAGGTTGTTACCACCCCTTTGTTTGAATTTGAATTCATAACCCCCCTAAAGATATTTCGCGTGGATGCTAGTACGGGAATAGCTGCGTTGGAGCTGCCATTGTAGTCCCGGATGAAACCGCTCCGTACGACACACCAACCGCCACCGGCGCGGTTCCAGCAGTGCCAGTGGTTCCCGTCACGACCGGCTGTGTACACGGCCCTTGGACCTGAGTACGACATCAGGGGCGGCGGCGTCTGCAGCTGATGAGGTCGCTGGAGAGGGGCACATGCGAGCTAGAAATTCGTATGTGGCCTTTGTTACATGTGTAGGGGCGGCTTCGCAATACTGTGCATGATTTGCCGCAGAGGCGGCAGCGATACTGGTAACAGCAGTAACAGTAGCAGTAATGAATGACAGTAGTAACCCTCTTCCTGGCTTCAAGTGCAGCCATTCGTCCTCATGGATGCTGATGCTTGAATATCATCAGGAACGTATTTGAATATTTGAAGTCTCTCTCTCTAGCGGTCTTTGTTGTGTTTTTTCTGTTTGTGAGTGTGTGTCGTCACAACCTTGAGCTGAGTCACTCTCCAACCCTCAGACCTAGGGAACCACTCTTGGAGCCATAATGAGGGGGACCCTGGGGGGCTCTCAGTAGGGGGCTGAAGGCTGCCCGAAGCAACCATAAGTGAGCTGTGCGTGTGGGGATCGAGAGAGGACGCCTCCCCCCTCCCGTAGTTGAGCGATGTCCTTCCCCCAACAGTTAACAACTCGGTGCACATCCCTCTACCTGGAGATATCACCGGAGGCTACTACTGCTTGTAGGCCACCTCGCCACAAACGGGAACACGGACGGCCCTGCAATGTATTGCAAGTACCAATCATGCATGCATGTCGTGGTACTAAATATATCGTCGTATGCGCTCTGTGGGACTTGTTCCCAAACATGTGCGTGTGCCGTCCCCATGCTGGACATCCCCGTGCGTTTCGATGCTTTAGCAATATAACTTCCCACATTGTTTTGCGCTATTACATGATATGATGTGATGTGATGTGATGTGATGTGATGTGATGTGATGTGATGTGATGTGATGTGATGTGATGTGATGTGATGTGATGTGATGTGATGTGATGCTTCTGGTGCGCCAATAGTAAGTAGGTGTGTTGGCACTGGGCCTTTGCCCGACCTTTTTGGGGGAATTGTGCCATCCCATTGTTACCCTTATCATCCTTGACGTATATTATTGTTGCATATCCTTGTTGTCGTTGTCTTCATGTAGATATTTGGGTTGTATGTGCCTATATATAGGAAGTGCGAGCTATGCATTTTTCGTCCCTCGCATTAGCTACACATGCATCAATGCGCACATCTTTCTGAGGTAAGGTTCGTACACATCAGCATCGTCATCGCCATCATAGCTAAAACAAGCAAGCTAAAAGTTTGTCACACGTTGCCTCTCCCACCAGCGGCTACTGCCGCCCTATGGCACAATGCTGCTGGGGGGTTCGCCTAGCAGCGCCCCGGTTCCTGGTAATAAAGGACCAACATGCATTATTCACCCGACCTCACTTCCGTGGAAGGGTGGATGAAATTTCCCCTTCGTCAATTTCCTTTATCTCCATAGAGCATCATGCATTTCCAATTTTTTTTCGCTGAGTCGCCTCGGCCTGAGGGTGGATTTATATATCTAAGACGGGACGGGCGGACAGAGACAGACAGACAGACAGACAGACGTAACGCGATAACAACTTCCCCTTTCAACACGAACATTGGACCCCGCGTACATGGAAGTGTGCATGCATCATTAGGAACCTTAGAAACGTCGTACGTGAGAGGGTTGAGGCCTCAGAAGATGTATGCGTGCGTGGTTGCATCCACATGTTGTATGCGGACAGAATAGTATGAGGGGGAGGGCGTATAATGGCTTCTCCGTCCGTCCGGCGGTTTGTCGTCACCATTCGTCAACTCGCAAGTTTTAAATGCATGATGAGGTGAACAGGTAGTGACATTGTTGCAGGCGGCGGCGTGCGTGCGTGTGTATGTATGTTGTTACAGGGTGGTTAACTTCGCCAGCGGCCCCCTTTCCCGGGGCAGTCCCTGCTCTCCCCTGCTAGAGGGGCACCCTAATCCGTCACCCCATCCGACTTCAGAATGTATTCGTTGGGTTCGGCAACTCACCACCAGCATCCAACCAAATCTAGCGGATCAACGGCGCATCAACTTAGTTGATGCGCCGTTGATGTATGTATGTATGTATGTAATGTAATTACATGCTTGTGTGCGTGTGTATGCCACATGTGTGGCGAGTCTGGGGAATAGGGCAATAGGGCTAACAGATGGTTCGGGGAAGGAGTGCAGAGACAGTAATGAGAGGAGAGGAAGGGAAATGTTTTCGAGGCTCATCCGGAAGACGTATCCCTGGTCGCCATTTCTCAGTTTTAAACTAATCTCGATACCGATGATCTCTTGGCGTCAGTCAGTCCGCAGCACGTGTCGTGGCATTTTTTGAATCGAAACAAATACGGGAAGCAAGTACTGTAGTACGGAGACCATAAACCACCACTGCTAGTTGCGGGCACGTTAGGTTGAGGTCATATGACCACCATGTATTGGTGATGATGCATTCACCACATGAGTTGAGAGGCCGGGTGCGACCGGGAGGGAGTTTATTCCCATGATCGCTGTGCTTGCGTCGGACACTCTGCCTTCATGGCTAGTTTTATTTTGTTTTTTCCAGTCTGCCGCGAGATGCAGAGCAAAGCGGATGCAATGGCCTGGAGCAGTCGCCAGGAACCTCGGAATAGAAAGAGACAGGGGGGGGGGTCATCAGGTTCCGGACAACACACACCCAGAACACGCCCGTTATACTCTCAGTATAAAGCGCAGAGAACATATGTATGTATACATCTGCACAGACGCACATACATACTTCACAAAATCCATGTCCGCCGATTGAAATGCTCCACCTAACGACCTACGGTAACGGTAACGGCATCAAGATATGTAACTAACTACTCCGGCTTCGGGCGCTGATCCTCATTCCGCTGTTGGTTTATCAGTTTATCAATCATATCAAATCCACCACAGGAAGAGAATTAGAAGGCAAGAATAAAGTTAACATCTGCCGCAAAACGCACGAAACCAAGGCAGCGAGCACCCTCCCGCCGCCCTATCCCTTCCTCACAAGCCATTTGGCCTATAACCAAAATATTGTAAAACAGCAAATTTCAGATGTGCCGTTGTCACACAACATGTCGCGATCGCATTCGTCCATTTCTCATCCACTCGATTCACTTTGTTTTTTGCTGTCGGAAGCCTGTCACAGGTCCCTATAGCCCTTCGGCTCGTCGTCCCGGCCTTACACGGTTTGTTCTAGGACCCTCTTTGATGCGCCTCCGCCATGCGACATAGATACATACATACGTACATACACACATTCTCAAGATCCACAACAGCTCACGTCCACTCATTCACCGCTAACATTCACCTCGTATATCCCCCACCACCCCACACGCACCACCATCGCTGTGATAATGCTTTGGTCATCCGTCGACCACATTCTCCCTACACACCCACTCATCCAGTTTTAAGCTTTCGTTCATTTGTTCGTTCATTAATTTATTTATTTAGGCCGTTTAGGCCGTTTCGTTCGATCGGCCCTGCCGTACAGGAGGACGAAAAGTTGGCGACTCAGGGGCGTGTTCGGCCCTGGACAAGCACCGTAACGCTCACGTACCCCAGTAATGCCACACACATACATACACCCACACCCACACACATACATACACATGCACACGCTCGTAATACACACGTACACATACACACACTCATAGTACACATACGCACAATGCATGTGTCATCCATCCTCAGCACCCACGTCCGTCCTTCTTGGAGCTCAATTCAGTCTCATCAGTCCACATCACCAACACATGATCACACACACACCTACAAGAACGCACGCACTCCCGCTTCCTGAGCTCTCGATCACGCGGTGCAGCGGGCGCTCCCACACTGGCTCCACCTCACTTCACTTCCCTTCACTCCACCACGCAGCGCAGGACTGTGGAGTAAACCGCAGAAAGAGGAGCGCAGAACCGAATCACGCTCGACGCCGGGGACGGGACAGGGAGCCATGTTGCCGTCGTTGTCGACGTTGTCGTCGTTATCGCCGTCGCGCTACACTATCCACACCAGAGTTCTTCTCCCCCCCTTCCTCCTCCTCCTCCTCCCGATCCAAGACCCTGACACGGGGGGTTATTCTGCCGTACAAACGGCCCCGCGCCTCCGCCTTACCCCTAGTACTCACTTCACCACCGCCACCACCACCACCACCGCCAGCAGCAGCAGCACCAGCAGCAGCAGCACCAGCAGCAGCAGCACCACCACCACCACGGCGGCTATGACGATAAGGTATCGCCGCCTGCTCGCTGTCGCTGCTACTGCTGCTGCGCCGGCCGCCACCGCCACCGCCTTCCGACGCCGATGCCGTGCCGCTACCAAGCTGCAACTTCCCCGCCTCCTTCCGCCGGTGCTGCTGGGGATGGCGATGGTAGTCGCGCTCCACGACGCCCTCCCCAGCGAAGCGGCTAAGCCCGCCGCCGCCGCCGGCGCCGCTGCCGCTGCCATCCTGGCGGCGGCGGCGGCGGCTGCTACTTCCAGCCCCAGCTCCTTCTGCCCCTCCTTTCCCCGCCTTGATGCTGGTGGTGGTGGCGGTATTGGTGTTCTTGTTCTTGTTGGTGTAAGTGTTCCTCCTCCTAGTGGCCTCCGCCTCCTCCGCCCTCTGCCTAGCCGCCCTCATGTCCACCACCACATGGTCCAGGCAGTCCTGGACCTCCCGGGGTCGACCCAATGTGGCCACGAGACGGAGCTCCTCCGGGGTCAGACGGCGGACCTGTCGTTGTTGTTGTTGGATATTTGGATACGTGTCAAAAGTAGGTAGTGTGGCGGCGGACAGGGAGGTGCTGTATGAGCACGGGTGTAGGAATATGGGTGTAGGAGTGTGAGTATGAGGGTGGCGGAGCAACAGTGTGAGCGCAATGGACTGGGCGCGTGGGTGGTAGTGGGCGGCGACTGGAAGCCGCCAGGTGGTTGGTGCCATTCGCGTGTGTGGGTACACAGCTGTGCAGAAACGGAGGGAGAGTGGAAGAGGGAGAGAAAAAGAGAGACGTTGGCAGTATGCAGACAGGCAGCAAAAGTATCAGAAACCCATAACTGAAGAGGTCTCGACCAGACACCGACCCAACCCACCCCAAATGCCAGGCTTCGC